CCTTGAATAATATCGGCTTCTTTCATTCATGTTATGGGGATTTTTATACAAAGGAAATTTTTTTGTGCCTGTTGAAAATTAAAGCTTACTGACATAGCCATAAAAAAATGTTGCTTTATTTATCTGACCGTATTGGAATGTATTTGTTAGGTTTTCAGTCAATTAAATTTGGTTCAATAAACAATATGTGGTTATTTTTAAAATTTTCAATGAACATTCGATCAGTCCGGCCCTCGGCTTGCAGCAAAAATTTTTATCTGGCCCTCCGTCCATTTGACTTTGACACCCCTGTCTTAGGGGGTCTGCTGAGGGGTGGCCCAATTGGGCCGCCCAGGGGTGCGGCATGTTAATGAAGATGGGAGTGTTTTTCTGATATAATACTTGTAATTTGCATATCCAATCAATAAAAGGGCCGGCAGAGGTGGCAGAGGTCAGGTGTCAGTGAGAAGCGCACACGGAGTGGCTTCGTAGAAAACTACACCTCCTGCCGGCAGAGAAAGACGATCTGTTCCGGTGTTCGAGCCTTTGTCGACCGTCCGAGCGAACATCTCTGACACTTTGACATATGTAGCTTAGCATGTCGGCCTCACAGTGCAGAGGCGAAAGGTTCGATTCAGGCCCCGTACTTCCTGTGTAGAATTTGCATGTTCTCCCCATGCTTGCGTTGGTTTTCTCTGGTTTCTTCCCACGTTCCCAAAACGTGCATGGCAGGCTAACAAAACACTTTAAATTGTCCCTCGATATGAGTGTGAGCATGGATGGTTCTTCGTTTACGTGTGCCTTGCGATTGGCCAGCAACCAGTTCAGGATGCCCAAAGACAGCTGGGATAACCTTCAGCACGCCGGCGGCCCTTGATGGATGGATGATGTTTTGCCATTCAGTCTTCGTCTCAATGCGGATCATCTCTGACAAGTGAATTTGGGGTCTTTTTTTTCCTGACTTCAGGGTTTTGACCTCCCAGTTCAAAGGAGCGTTAAAGAATTCCATTCTGACCTTATTTGAGACATGCTATAATGAAGGTCAACATTTAAATACAGTCAAACCTTTTGTTTTTGGGCTATTGTTTTTATATCTCACTGCAGGGAAATGGTGCCTCACCAGTCATGAACCGCACCAATATTGAGGTAGAGATTTGAGGAAGACTTGGCTGATCCAAGCTTTTTGAGCAGAGAACTTTATTGGCCAGCAAGCAACACACAACAATACAACTGGCTCCATCAGACATTTCATGACAAAATGGAAAATGTCCATTTTACTCAGGATCACATCCAACAAAAGGTAACACATCGCAACACGTGTCCTTGACTGTACAGTCAAGGACGTTTCAGCAAAAAAAAAAAACAAAAAAACAAAAAAAAAAACTAAGAACTAAATCAAACAACCAAATCGCCTCTGAAAATGAGTTAAAACAAACTAGAGTCAAACGTCTCTGTTCTCGACCAAAAATTGAGTTTTTTATGCCTCGGATTACGACTGAAATTCGGTTCTCAACCAAACTGAGTGCACTTGAATGCGCCACTCGACTTCGCTCAACTTCATTACACGAGGAAGTGACGCTTCCTCGGGTTGACGAAGAAGCGACGCCTCTTTTGTGAGCAGACGTATTCAATAAAGATTAAAAAAAAAAAAAAGAGCGTCCATTGTGAGCAGATGTGTTCAAGTCTCTATCTTTGGGCTTTTATGTCCTGAATTGGTTTTCAGTCCTCTCCAGACACCAGTAACATTTCTGGTCTGTAGGTAGTCCTCCATTTTCAACCTGTAGGCCTTTTTCCCCTCTCTGATTCTTCTCGTCAGCTGGGTCCTTCAGCTCCTCTCTGTTTTTCGACACAAAAGCCCTCTTCTTCTGCTTCAGGAGGCCCTTTATGTCGGTAGTAATCCACGGTTTGTTGTTGGAAAAACACCACACAGTCCTGGCGGGGACGGTGTTCTCCTCACAAAAGTTTATGTAGTCTGTGATGGTGGTGAGCGAATCAATGTCTCGACTCAACTCAACTGTATTTATAGAGCACTTTCAAACAGCCATCGCTGCATACAAAGTGCTGTACATGGAGCAATTTAACATATACAACAAACAGTAAAGCAAATTGGTAATAAAGACGGTAGAAAGCACCGAACAGCAAAACCAAGAACAAATCTAAGTCATGCTGAGTCAAATGCCAAAGAATACAAGTGAGTTTTGAGGCGGGTTTTGAAGATGGGCAGCGAGGAGGCTTGCCGAATGTTCAGTGGGAGGTCATTCCAGAGAGAGGGACCAGCAACAGAAAAGGCTCGATCCCCTCTGAGCCTCAATTTAGTTCTTGGTACTTCTAACAATGTCTAATAATGTCCTCCCCATGAACATCACTTAAGAGCTCCCACCTGGTTTAGTCGGAGGAGTCTAGCAGAGCCTCTTCAGCCTCCGTGCACCATTCATGACCATGCTGGTCACAGATGGCTGCCTGTGTTCAAGGGGTTTGTACACAGGCTGGAGATGCACCATGATGCGGTCCGCTCTTCCAAGAGGGGGCAGGGTGTGGAGTGTATATGCCTCCTTGGTGTTGACATAAAACAAGACCAAAATGTTATTGTCTCTGGTGGCACAGGTTACATACTTGTCGAAGGTAGGGAGGACGACAGAGGTCACGTTTGTGAGCGGGGTCTCCAGACACAGTAAATGTAAGAGTACAGTGAAATTCCTCTGCAACGAAATCATGTTTGCAGCAAGAAATTTTTCACAACAGGGGACTTTTCACTATGGAAAATTACCTCAGATGTAAAGACACACACACACACACACACACACACACGAATGTGTACTCTTTATTTTTATTCCAATAGTGCATAAGTAGCCTACACTTATTTGACACTTCATATAGCTAGAGTAGAAGGAGAAATATGGGAAAGAAATTGCTAAATTTACAATCAGCATTCACTTTCACTTACATCAATTTCTTGCATAATGTTTTTTACTTTGCTTCCTCCATCTTTCATTTTGATTATTTTTATCCTGTCTTCAAGCGTTAGAGCTTATCTTTTCTTCACTCCTTGGTCTGCAAAGGTCTGTTTTTGTAGCCATTTTAGCAATGCAACGTTTATGCTGCGTCTGAAACGAACAATAACAAATACTTCCTGTACTACTGCGCATGTGTAAACCACTGTGGTGTTTGCTGTTGCCATTTCCGAGCGAAGCAGTGGGAGTCACTGTCAGCTGAGGTTGGATTAGACTTTTGCGGAAGGCTTGTTGTCGTTGTAGTGAATCTCGTTGCGAGGCAAGGGCAGAGGAAAAAATTTGGTATAACGCAACAGGGGGATTTTTCGTTGTAGGGGGAGCAAAAAAGTGGGAATAGTTTAAATGATTTTGCAAGATTTTTTCACACTAGGGGATATTTTCGCCCATGTAGATTTCGTTGTAGAAGCGTTTTCCTGTAAAAGAAAATAATGGAGATGAGCAGAAATGAAGATGCCCATGTCACCCCCCTCCTAGATTTAGGGTACAAAAAGACAAAACTAAATCGGAAGAGTAAATGAATAAAATTAAATGACGAAAAGAAACTCAAGCGGGGATAGGCGCTGCTGTACAGGCAGCCACTCTTGCGGCTCAATCTTGAAAAAAAGAAAATGTCAGCATCCCAAGGAGAAGGTACATAAAATACAATCAGGGTGGTGAAGCCTGCTCAGAAAAGAGGTGAAAATTTCATCGATAACTGTTCATCTCATTATGACACTTGTGATTCTTAATTTGATATTTCCACGAGAATCTATGGCCACATTGTGAGCAGGAAAAAGGTTTCTCACCGGTGTGGGTTCTTTCATGCAATTTTAAGTGTGCGTTCTGAGAGAAACTTTGGCCACAATCTGAACAGGCAAAAGGTTTCTCACCTGTGTGTATTCTCGTGTGTGTTCTTAAGTTTGCCTCCTGAGAGAATCTTTGACCACAATCTGTACAGGCAAAAGGTTTCTCACCTGTATGTATTCTCATGTGACTTTTTAAGCGTCCCTTCGCTGAAAAACTTTGGCCACAATCTGAACAGGCAAAAGGTTTCTCACCAATGTGGGTTATTACATGCCTTTTTAAGCATCCCTTCCAAGAGAATCTTTGGCCACAATCTGAACAGACAAAAGGTTTCTCACCAGTATGGGTTCTTTTGTGCGCATTTAAGTTACTATTACGAGAGAATCTTTGGCCACAAGTTAAGCAGGCAAAAGGTTTCTCACCAGTGTGTATTCTCATGTGACTTTTTAACTGTCCCTTGTCTGGGAAACTTTGGCCACAATCTGAACAGGAGAAAGGTTTCTCACCAGTGTGATTTCTGGAGTGTAATTTTAAGTGATAGTTCCGAGAGAATCTATGGCCACAAACTAAGCAGGAAAAAGATTTCTCCACAGCATGGGTTTTCGCATGTCTTTTCAGAGCCATCCTACAAGTAAACGTCATCTCACACTGAGAACATTTCCACGCTATGTTGTCAGTGTGACATGTCAGATCACCATCCTCGTCCTCCTCATCAGCAACATCATTCACAACGTTCGATGACATGTCACTATCTTTCGTGCAAGGGTGCTCTGGCTTCTCCTCTTTTTGAATGTGTAGGACCTGCTCCTCCTCTTCTTCCTTAAAGTGGGAGACTTCTATGTCCTCTTCCTTTTTAAAGTGAGAGGGCTCTGCAACAAGTCGCTCAGGACAAGCATCTTTGCTGATGTCTACAAGACACAAGGAGACAAACACACTTGGAATTCTGGTTTATGATTACAATGAAGGTTACTCAGAGATAGATGAATTCAGATTACAACTCAATATGTGACATTTCCAGCATCACGGTAGTGGTGAATTTTTCTTTCTTGGATTATTTTTATCCATTGTGGTTGGTTATTTAAATTTTTTTTTTTATCCTTGGTTATTTGTGAAAAGACTTGCACAGAGTATGACAGTGCACATTTTAGAGTGGTGGATAAGTCCAGAGCGCAAATTCTACCTTGTGCTGTTCGCGCAGCATTTCTGAACCGCGAAAAAAGTAACAGATACAGTGATCCCTCGCGATATGGCGCTTCATTGATTGTGGCTTCAGTAGATCGGATTTTTTTTTTCCCAAAGTACTGTATTCAGACAAAAATACTGAACGACTCAGAGGTTTTGTCCATGCCTGGACCGAATCGGCAACGAGCACTCATTCAAGGCGCATGATTGGTTTCCGGTACGACGTCGACCAATGACCGTACGAGTGGATTTATCCTGTGAGCTGATTGGTTGTGCATCTTTGCAGCCCCACCCAGCACAACGAGAAACCCTTGTGTCACGTCACGCTGTTGATTCTCTGGCATACTGTCTCTTCTATTTGCTCCGTGCGCAGTCGTGTGTGTGTGTGTGTGTGTGTGTGCGTGTGTGTGTGCGTGTGTGTGTGTGTGTGTGTGTGTGTATACAGTAAGTATTCCCATCTACGGACTTCTTTCAATGAGAAATTCAATTCAGAAATAGAGAGGCACTCATCCTGGCTGCTCAGGAGCAGGCCCAGAGCACAAGAGCTATAGAGGCCCAGATATACCACACCAGACAAGACCCAAGGTGGAGGTTGTGCAAAGAGGCACCTGAGACGATCCAACACAAAACTGCAAGGTGTAAGATGCTGGCAGGGAAAGCCTACATGGAGCGCCACAACCAGGTGGCTGGCATAGTCCACCGAAACATCTGTGCGGAGTAGGGACTGGAAACCCCAAGGTCAAATTGGGAAACACCTCCAAAAGTGGTGGACAATGACCGAGCGAAGATCCTGTGGGACTTCCAGACACAGGCTGACAAAATGGTAATGGCGAACCAACCAGACATCATGATCATAGATAGAGGGCAGAGGAAAGCCGTTATCGTGGATGTAGCGTCCCAAGTGACGTAAACATCAGAAAGAAGGAACATGATAAACTAGGGAAATACCAAGGGCTCAGAGAGGAGCTGGAGAGAGCCTGGAAGGTAAAGGTGACAGTCGTGCCTGTGGTGATCGCAGCACTCGGGGCAGTGACCCCCAAACTGGATGAATGGTTGCAAAAGATCCCGGGAACGCCATCGGACATCTCAGTCCAGAAAAGAGCAGTGCTGGGAACAGCGAGGATACTGCGCAAAACCCTCAAGCTTCCTGGCCTCTGGAAGAGGACCCGAGCTGAATGGGGGGCGGACACCACCCAATGGGTGTGACGAGGATTTCATACATACAGTAAACATTCTCTAGTACGGACTTGTGTTTGCGCTGTCCAATCTGTCCTGATGACAGAAATTCCTCATTTGGGAAATGAGCATGGTCCATGTCCTTTATGAACCTGCAAGTATGTTGACAAAATGCACGTGCAACAACACAATGAATAAAATGCAAAAATATACTGTCCAAAAACTGTTAATGTAACAAAACTGCAATGCAGGTGTATCCCAAAAAAAATCACAACAGTACAATATGTACAGTATTTTAATGTTTATTTTTTTCTGTCTTGGGAAAAAAATGTCTCTCTTTTGGATTGTTTTGTTGGATGCATTCTTTGGTTTATGACAATGTTTGCCTGCGTGTCGCAGTTTTCTTGCTAGTTGCAAGTAACTGTCCCATTGATCACCGATATCTGGTGATTCATGTGCATATTGAAGGATTGTTGTTGCCATTTGCATTGCTTCCTTGCTGGATGGTGGCTTGTCATCAGGAGTTGAATCGATGCCTTGTTTTTTAAGGTTTCGTAGATTTGCGTCTTTCCGACTCCAAGTGTCTCCTGGATGCTTTTTACTTTGTGTCCAGCCTCGCTCAAACGGATGCATTTCACTCGCTCCGCTACAGTCATTACAGTTCTTCTATGTTTCGATGCCATGATCTACATGACGTAAGTGAATAAAGTTAAAATCTTTTGCAATTACAGTAAAACGCACGCCAATAAAAAGTCACTTACACGTCATCGTTTCGAATCTGATAAATGAAAACGGCGAAGCGAACAAGTTTCTTCTGTCGTGTCGAGTGGGTGCTGATTTTTAAGCTTGTGCCGATTTATACAGGACTTAAGTGAATAAAGTTAAAATCTTTCACAATTACAAAAAACGCACGCCAATAAAAAGTCACTTACACGTCATCGTTTCAAATCTGATGAATGAAAACGGCGAAGCGAACACGTTTCTTCTGTCATGGCGAATGGGCAATGCTTTTTAAGCGAGTGCTGCGATCTATGGGACATAAGTGAATAAAGTTAAAATCTTTCGCAATTATAGAGTAGAACGCACGGCAATAAAAAGTCACTTACACATCGTCGTTTCAGATCTGATGATTGAAAAAGGCGAAGTGAAAACGTGTCTTCCGTCGCATCGGGTGGGCGTTGCGTGTATTTAAGCTGCCGCGGCCATCCGGGTTACGGCTAGAGGAATTTCCGCTTACGTAAGTTCTGATAGCATGTATAATGTTAATGCATAGGTTTTTATTCCGGGTGAAAGAAATTCCTTTTCATAGAATTCCGGGGATGGGAATGTTTACTGTCTATACGCATGTTATGGTAACTGGGTTCTGTTCAGGGAGGTTGCTGTGCTCCTCTCTCAGGGTCACCAGCCATTGTGCACTGCTGTTATGTGCACCCTCCTTCTCCCATATGCCTTTCCAGTACCTTTCAGTTTCCAGTCTTGGTGGGTCAGCTCTGCTGTTAGGCCCCTGCCACTGAGCGTACACTTTCGCAGGTTGTGTTGCGAACAGCCTGTTTATTCGTCTGGCCTCATTCTCTTTCGTGA